AGCAGCAGTGGAAAAACAACTCTGTACAGGGGAACAACAATAGGATTAATGGTTGATTTTTCATCAGATAAATGAAGGCTAGAAGGCAGTGGAATAATATGTTCAAAATACTGCAATAGAATTCAACCAAGAATTGTACATCCAGCAGAACTATCCTTCAAAGATGAAGGTGAGATAAAGATATTTCCTGATTAACAGAAACAGGATTTGTTGGTAGCAGTCTTGCCCTGAAAGAAATACTAAAGGAAGCCATTAGGCTGAAAGAAAATGACAGCAGATGGTAACTCAAATCCACAGAAAGGAATGGAATTGGAACTAATAAGTATGCAGATAAACATAGTAGACTGTATACACATACACAAATATTCACCAACTTGTGAATGTGTAAATAAAATGTGATATATCCATATGATAGAAAACTACTCATCAATGAAAAGGAGTAAAACTAATTCATGCAACAACATGGCTGAACCTCAAAAACAGTATGCTACATGAAAGAATCCAGCCTGAAAAGACTATACATTGTGTGATCACATCATGTATCATGATTATGTAACTATATAAATTTACTAAAACCTTATCAGACTGTATAATTACAATGGGTGAATGTGTGGTATACAAATTATACCTTAATACAGTGGTTAAAAAAAAATGTTAGTGCCTGTTCCTGAGTGATGTGTATGGAGATAATGTTCATTTTCTTTTTGCTTCTCTGCATTTTCTAGATTGATTACATAAACATCTATTATGTTTGGAATAAAAGACAACATGAGGAGTAAATTTTTAAACAATAAAAGCTGTATATTTAAAGTTCTTTGAAAATCAAAACTCACCCTCTCTCTCCACACACACATACACTGAACAGAAACCCCAGTGAGCAGTAATCGCCATCAGATTTTAATTTAGCTAAAAACATAGTCTTAAAAAAAATAAAAATAAAAAAAAAATAAAAACATAGTCTTGCGTTGCACTTGGGAGTTTAATATGGTGGTTATTTTAGGTCTCAGGATAAGACTGTTCAGACATAAGCTTTCTTTTCCTACAGAAAATCCATGCATTTCATCAAGAGAATAAAATCAGAACATCATCTGATATGCCATCAAGTTATATCTCAGACTTTTTGAGGCTTTTATGAGTGCTGGAAAGAGGACAGGCATGGGCTTTAAGCATGCAGTTGTCTAATTAATTTAGCTGAAGCTGAAATTAGACACTTGTAAAGGCTAGCCTATTGCCTTAAATAATTGTTTCCCTTTTTTGCAGATGCTGTTGAGATATATTTTATAAAAAGCATCACTGCATATCAAACAACATCGGGCCCAGAGGATTATGAAACACTGACGACCATTGAAGAATTTTGCAAATGGCTTGTTCAAAATGGGGAAAAACAGGTAAATGTTATCAACTAATAAATGTAATTGCTAGATTGTTTATTAGATTGGGACAGCCTTTTTCATCTCATAATTCAGAAACTGGAGCTCAGAGAAGGCTCAGGAAAAGCCAGCAATAAAAATAGGGCTGGTGCAGCTTGCGATATTAGTAAAGAAAAAGAAGTATTTTTCTTGTATCTTGAAACATGAGGTCCTTCAAATCCTGGACACATATAATCTCTGGTCCTGTAAATTTAATATTTTAAGTCAAAATTGGCTTTTATCTTTGGATATAGCTGATAGTTTCTTTTTATATTTACATCTTTATTGGAGTATAATTGCTTTACAATGGTGTGTTAGTTTCTGCTTTATAACAAAGTGAATCAGCTATACATATACATATGTTCCCATATCTCTTCCCTCTTGCTTCTCCCTCCCTCCCACCCTCCCTATCCCACCCCTCTAGGTGGTCACAAAGCACCGAGCTGATATCCCTGTGCTATGCGGCTGCTTCCCACTAGCTATCTACCTTACGTTTGGTAGTGTATATATGTCCATGCCTCTCTCTCGCTTTGTCACAGCTTACCCTTCCCCCTCCCCATATCCTCAAGTCCATTCTCTAGTAGGTCTGTGTCTTTATTCCTGTCTTACCCCTAGGTTCTTCATGACATTTTTTTTCTTAAATTCCATATATATGTGTTAGCTTTCTCTTTCTGACTTACTTCACCCTGTATGACAGACTCTAGGTCTATCCACCTCATTACAAATAGCTTCAATTTCATTTCTTTTTATGGCTGAGTAATATTCCATTGTATATATGTGCCACATCTTCTTTATCCATTCATCTGATGATGGACACTTAGGTTGTTTCCATCTCGGGGCTATTGTAAATAGAGCTGCAATGAACATTTTGGTACATGACTCTTTTTGAATTATGGTTTTCTCAGGGTATATGCCCAGTAGTGGGATTGCTGGGTCATATGGTAGTTCTATTTGTAGTTTTTTAAGGAACCTCCATACTGTTCTCCATAGTGGCTGTACCAATTCATTTTTCTCTTGATATATTATTTCCTTCTCAGTTTCCGGTCTTGAATTCTTTATTAATCAAACTTTTGTTTTCACATTAAAAAAACAGTTAAAGAAAATGCTTTTGATTGCTGACCTTTTATTTAGAAGTCCCGTGAGTCTAAACTGTTACTCAAAAACTCAAAAACTTTATGTACTGAGTTCAGCATGAAGGCAGTGAAGACCTTTATTCGTCATGAGATCCCATGTGACTTTGACCTGACCAAGCCAACTTTATTCTTCCTCAGGCATGTGAGAAACAGGTGTGATCTGACATGGTTTTGTTGGCCATGTGAAAACCAGCTTAAGAGTAAGTTTCTAGACACTTAATAAGTAAGAATTTTTTTTCAAGGAATGAAGAAAAAGCTTTTTTTATTCCACATTTGAACTTTTTTTTTTTTTTTTTTTGTGCTGTGCTCCCCTTACTGTTTTCTCTCCTTTCCCGGATCACAGGCTCCGGGCGCACAGGCTCAGCGGCCATGGCTCACAGGCCCAGCCGCTCCGCGGCATGTGGGATCTTCCCGGACCGGGGCACGAACCCGTGTCCCCTGCGTCGGCAGGCGGACTCTCAACCACTGCACCACCAGGGAAGCCCGACATTTGAACATTTTTGTAAATGATGACATTTTCTTTAGTTCTATTTTAATTGCCACTTGTAGAGGCAAAAAACCTTGTGGTGGTTTGTGACTTTTTTTTTTTTTTTTTACAGTGGCTGCAATATTTTCTGTTGGTTCCAAAGATTAATGTAAAGCCACAGATTGACCTAATATTTTAATTTAGTTTCCAAGAAAGTACTTGGCCAGAACCTCATAGCTTATCCTTGTTATGTTCTGATACAGTGAACATCTTGACTCTGTGATAAGACACCAGTACCAATGCCTGACAGCTGTCTGCTTCTAACCGAGTGTACCAAGCTCCTAGACAGAGATGCAGAAGTGTCTTGAGTGCCAGGTGGCTCTGAATCTAAATCACAAGCAGGACTGTGGACAGGTCACCTTTACTACTAAGAAACACGCTCCATGAGGACAAGGGTTTTGTCTGTTTTGTTCACTGCAATGTCCCTAGTGCCTGAAACAGTAACTGGCACATAGTAGGTGCTCAATAACTATTGAGTTACTTTGCTGAATTTTATAACACATTTCATGTGGGATAATTACATTTTAAAAGGAGCTTTTTCTCCCAACCTCAAGCCTGAGATGAGATTCTCAGCCTGTTCTAGAGGACCATAACAGAAACTCAGATGATTTGGGAATTGTGTTCCCATCAAATATAACATTTTTTTTTCAAACAGAGATTTAATCTGCCACTGATAAAAGATAAACAGGATCCATTGGCCAGAACTGCCATCTTCCAGTAATTTCTTAAAACGGTGAACACAAAGGGAAAGAGGAGAGGCATCCACTATATGTTCTCTAGGCCTTTTAGAAAACATGGAGTTATTTCTTTGGCCATATCCTTGGGGATCTACAGGAAAGGTGATCTTGTATACAGTAAGGGAATGGGCATTGTTCAAAAAGGAATGCCCAGAAATGTTACCGTGGCAAAATTGGAAGGGTCTACAGTGTTACCCAGCTTGCTGTTGGCATTGTTATAAACAAACAAGTTAAGGGTAATCCTCTTGCCAAGAGGATTAATGTACATAATTGAGCATATTAAGCACTCTAAGGGCCGAGATAAGTTCCTGAAATGCATGAAAGATCAGAAAAAGAAGGAAGCCAAAGAGAAAGTTACACGGGTTCAACTGAAGAGCCAGCCTGCTCTACCCAGAGAAGCACACTTTGTGAGCACCAGGAGCCTGAGCTACTGGAATCAATCCCAATGAATAGCTAGACTAAATAAGAACAACAGAGAGAAGACTCAAATAAAATCAGAAATGAAAGAAGAAACATTACAACTGATGCCACAGAAATTAAAAGAATTATAAGAGACTACTATGAACCATTACATTCCAACAACTTGGATAACCTAGAAGAAATGGGTAAATTCCTAGAAACCTACAACCTGCTAAGACTGAACCATGAAGAAATAGAAAATCTGAATAGAACTTTAATTAGTAAGGAGATCAAATGTGCCAACAAGAAAAGCCCAAGATCAAATGGCTTCACTGGTGAATTCTATGAAACATTTAAAGAAAAATTAACTCCAATCCTCCTCAAACTCTTCCCCAAAAAATTGAAGAGGAAGGAATGCTTCCAAACTCATTTCATGAGGCCAGCATTACCTCGATACCAAAGCTAGGAAAAGACTACAAGAAAAGAAAACTACAGAACAATATCCTTGATGAATATAGATGCAAACATTTCAACAAAATACTAGCAAACTGAATTCACCAGCATATTATAATGACCACACACCATGACCAAGTGGAATTTATCCCTAGGATGCAAGAATGGTTCAACACATGAAATACAATCAATGTGATACACTACATTATCAGAATGAAGGATAAAAATCACATGATCATTGCAAGAATACAGAAAAAATATTTGACAAAATTCAACATCTTTTTATGATAAAAGCATTCAACAAACTAGGAACAACAAAGGTCATATATGAAAAGCTCACAGGTAACATCATACTCAGTGATGAAAAATTGAAAGCATTTTTTTCTAAGATCAATAACAGGACAAGAATGCCTACTCTTGCCCACTTCTATTCAATATAGTTCTGGAAGTACTAGCCAGAGCAATTAGGCCAGCAAAAGAAATAAAAGTCATCCAAATTGGAAAGAAAAAAGTGAATTATTTCTATTTGTGGATTATATGATCTTATATTCTTATATGTAGAAAACCCTAAAGATTTCACACACACACACACACACACACACACACACACACACGAAGTGTTAGAACTAATAAACAAATTGCAGGATATAAAAAAATTTCAGGATACAAAATCAACATACAAAAATCCGCTGCATTTCTACACACCAACAATGAACAATCTGAAAAAGAAATTAAGAGAACACTCCCATCTACAAAAGTATCAAAAAGAATAAAATACTTAGGAATAAACTTAACCCAGGAGGTGAAAGAATTGTACACTTAAAAAAATAGGAAAATCTACTTATATGCATGTTCTCCTATTCTGAAAAATGCAAAGATAATATAGAGCCTTGAGACTCCTAAATTATTGTCAATGTTTCCTGGAAAGCAACAACTGACATCCTTTTTATGTTTGTTCTGACATGCCACATATGAGGATGTTGATTACATATTCAACCCAGTTCCAAAGAAATGTTCTATTTATAAATGTCAACATAGTTAACACAGGCAGAGGGTGATGTGCTATTCTTGAGGATGCCACAGCAATAATTGTACCTCTTCACTCCCTCTAAAGAAAGCACATTGGGAAATCCAATGAGTACAAGCATTGTTGTTCTATAAACAACTTCCAGTGTGTACTTAATTTTTCTCTAAATCATATGCTGTATAGTAAGTAGTTAAGAGTGAGAGTTGAGCTGAAAGACAACTGGCCTGGACTTTAAAAAAAAAAAAAGCCAGTATTATGAAAGGGCAGAACTGCTACAGATTAAAGAAGACTAAAGGATTGTGAAAACTAAATGCAATATGTGATTCTTCATTGGATATTAGATTTTGAAAGTTATAAAGAACATTATTGGACAATTGGGAAATTTGAATACAGAGCACATATTAATATTATATCAATGTAAAAAATTTTGAGAGTAAAAATGTAATGTAGTTATGTAGGAAAATCTTCTTGTTCTAAGAATATACATGCTTAAGTATTTAGGGGTAAAGTATCTTAAGTACAACTTATTTTCAACAAAAGTATATATGTGTATGTATTTATATATGTATATAAAAATGTTATCTATTACATATACATATAATTTTTTAAAGAGAAAGCAAATGTGGCAAAATGATAGCCAATTGGTGAATCTAGATTAAAATATTATGTGTATTCATTCTACTATTCTTTCAGTTTTTCTGAAGGTTTGAAAAGCGCATGGAATACAACCAGCATGCTCCTTCAGAATTACCAGGTGAATTAAAAATAGGTACATATTTTTTTATCCCCTGGGAGGCTTACAGACTGCTAAAGGCTTTATTGAAGTCTCAGGTCATTAGCTATGGTGACTGCAGTAAAAAAGTGGCTGAAACTTTTTATAACATGGGCAGGATCTGCTTTGCCAAAGGAGAGCTCAGAAAGGCAATTCAGCTGCTAAGGAAGGTGAATACTGGCTGGTGTTTCACATTTGCTCCCAGGCCTGTAAGCAAAATGTGAGGGGAGATGTGTGTGTGTGTGTGTGTGTATTTTCCCTTCCCTTCCCTCTCTCTCTCCTTCCTTTTTTTTCTTCCTTCTCTTTTTCTTTCTTTCTTTCTTTCTTTTTTTTTAAGTAAAGTGTTCTCTTTTGAAAATTCTTCACATTCTTAGATGTGCTAAGGGAGAATATGACTACAGAAACTTTTGTTGTGTCTGTGCCTGGACCAGAGTTTTAGAAGAGTAATACCCTAATCCTGGAAACTTGGTATGGCAGTAGCAGAATCTTGTGAAAGCACCAAAGGTTGTGTTGGAATAAGGAACACCTTGTCTAGCCATCATTACCCGAGCACTGATTCCCCTTCCAGGGAGCTCAGACAACCCTAGAAGTTCATTGCCTAGTAGTAGGATGTGGCAAGAGGTGTGCCTAACAGTTGTTCAGCCAGTCAGTATACTAACAGCCCAAGCTAAAGACTAGGTAAGATCAGTAGTGATGTCTCTACATAAAACCCAAATTAGTTCAGTTTCAGAGGAAAAGTTGGTAAAGATCAACTGATATTCAAGAGGGCAGAGTCAAAAGCAATCCACACATGGGAATTCCCTGGTGGTCCAGTGGTTAGGACTCTGCGATTTCACTCCAGGGCCCCAGGTTCAGTCCCTGGTTAGGGAACTATGACCCCGCAAGCTGTGCAGTGTGGCCAAAAAAAAAAAAAAAGCATTACACACACATATATTGGCAGGTGTGGAGATATTTTATCTCATTTCAGGTTAACTTAATGTAATAAGTATGAAAATAGTAAATAACAGAAGAATGGGGACTTCATTTTGAAGATTCATTTTGAAGAGGCCGCTATAGCTGGTCCTGTATAAACACAGGGCACTGTTCCCTCCAGTACCTTCAGATTCTTTTCTCAAGCCTTGGGCAGTTTTTACACCTCTGTGTTAATCAGTACTCTGCTGAATACAGTTGTCCCTCGGTATCCGTGGGGGATTGGTTCTAGGACTTCCCACCCACCCCCCTCACCAACACCAAAGTCTGCAGGTGCTCAAGTCCCCAGTATAAAATGTTGTAGTACAGTCGGCCCTCTGTATCTGCAGGTTCCCAGACTGCGGGCCAACCGCACTTGAAGGGGACGCACTGCAGATATAGATATTCTCTTTCTGTGCAGCTGTCTCTCTTCTGTTACTCTGCCCTGAGAGTCTCCTGAGACTCTCAGCTCCGTATGCTCAATTCAGGGCGTCTGCTGAGCTCCACTTCCCTGCATCACAGCCTGGAGATGGTCTCAAAGCAGTAATCTGGGGCAATCATAGCGTTTATTTCACTTGCTTTCCCTCTCTCAGGGAACACTGTCCTTTGTTGCCTAATGTTCATTGTCATGAAGATCGTTCCAAATATATTTCGTCTACTTTTTCTTTTCTGGTTGTTTCACGTGGGAGGGCAAATCTGGTGCCTATAATTCCACCTTGATTGGATAGAGAGGTCAGCAATAAAATTTACAATGGAAAACTGCCTAAGAGTAAAATTATGTAGCATGAGAATGCAATGCAAGTTTGGGACACGTACACTGATTTCATTTATATCTACCCGTTTGGTTACAGCTATTTGGAAAATCCTGGTGGAAACCACTGTGGGTTTTAGGTAGGCATGCTGTCCATTTTCAGGCCTGTTACTTTGGTTTTCCACAGCCACATATGGTAGTGGAAGCTTCAGTGAAGTGGAATGATACAGGTACAGCACTAGGGGGACAGAGCCTTCGATTCAGACTCCTTCCTCCTTGGAAGGGAACCAGGAGGAAGAGTAGTACAGGCATCTGAAATGTCAACCTGTGACATCTCAGTTCCACTGGTGCTCTCCTGAGTTTGGTTTATAATGAAGGTGCTTGTTATTTGATTCTCTTTAAACTGTTAGGCTTCTCAACTCGCCTACAGTGTCTGATGATTCAAATCCTCATATATGGAAAAGAGCACTGTAGAAGCAGAGACACAGAAAACCTCCTTAGCCTAATGCAGAGGTAAGTTCTGACCCTGATCATCAACCAGGTCTTCAGTGTGGATATATGGATAGCATGGCCTCACCCAGGTTCATTCATTTAGGGGTGATTCACCTGTTATTCTTGTTAGTAAGGCAAAATGCCAGCCTGTACTATGCATCTGGCCAAATCCTAAACTGGAGGTACCTAGTCAATTTCTAGTAGTCTCTCAGAACCCGATGTTACAGGGGTCTGCTGCAATTTTAGTATTTATGTCTCTTTCAATGCTGAGCATTATAACCAAGTTCTACAAGACTGTTTCAGCTAACAGCTTGTGACAGATACAAACTGGGTTTATAACGAAGCAAGTGAAGGAATTCCCTGGCAGTCCAGTGGTTAGGACTCCATGCTTTCACTGGTGAGAGCCTGGGTTCTATCCCTGGTGGGGGAACGACCAGAAAAAAAAGTAAGTGAATACATTAAACTTATTTTTCTTACTAAACATACAAAATCTAAGTCCCTAAACATAAGGCAACTTTTGGGGGGAAACAGTTGTCTCCAAAGTTAAAAATAAAAGAGCCTCTTCAGATTCTTCTTAAAAAATGTTTCAGCCAAAGAAGAGTGTTTTGTGTAGACCTGCCCCCTTCTTGACCCTTGGCATATCATTGCTGTTTGTTCATCTCAGAATGATATTGATCCTGAACTGTTCTCTTTTGTTGTGTGTATA